TTAATTACGGGCTCCGATCACTGTGCATGGTCGAATTTGCCTCTGCTGGTGTCCTCTCCTCTCCACCGCAAAGGACGAGACGAGACGAGACGAGACATCATCTCTCTCTGTGTCTCTCCCCATCTCTCGACCCGAACTCGCTCGCCGTCTCTGCCCCTGCCCTGCTCTGCTCCACCAGACGCGATCTCTCTTCCCCCGAATCGCTGAAATTCTCTCTCCTCCTCCGCCCCACCTCGGATCGAGTCCAAGCCACCGCGCCCAGCCCGCTCCGCTGACATAGACCTGAAATCCTGAAATCCCCAATCGAGCCCGACCGGAGCCTGTCGATTCCGCCGGATTCGAGCTCCCACCGGTGAGACGGTTCGTCTTAATCGGCCGATTGGACTCGAATTCGGGTGTTCTGGATGCGGGCAGAGCATAGACCCGCGGATCTAGGGTTTCGGAGGGCCTAGGGTCTGCCGGCTTTCTGGTGATGGTGTTGCGGCGCGGTGCCGGAGCTCGGCGAGGAGGAGGTTTCGGCGGCGACGTTGGAGAAGATGCAGCGAGCCGGATATGCATGTGTGGCGCGGCACTGAGGGGTGCGACGGCAGGAGGCGGCGTCTTGTTCGGCTCATGTGGCCAGCGGCACGCGTAGAGGCAGAAGCTCCACCATCGCCGGCAACAGCTACTTCTCCTTCCCGTTTTTTTGTTCTCCCGCCTCGGACGACTTCTTATCAGCTAGCGGCGGTGGCGGCGCGGGAGCAGGAGTGCGTCGATTCTCCCCGCCCAGTGTCCCCTGGCTCCTTTATAAAGGTGCGCCTTCGTTGGGTATTGCAATTCACCTTCCTTGCTCACCTTTATGAGAATTCCGTCGACTTGATGATGATGATTATGATGTTAAGTATGACTATACTAGATTTCATTGCCTAGTTGGCAATTTAAAGACTAGCATGAGAAGTGCCATGAAATGTGTGTTGAGTTGGTTATTCTAGTAGCAGTTGCTAGCATGCTAATATGTAAACAGACTTTATTTTGTATCATTGGATTGAATTCTATGGCCATCTCACCCTCAGCTTGAAAATTTCACCTTTTAGTTTTCACAACAACAACAACAACAACAACAAAAAAGACTTTAAGTCCCAAACAAGCTGGGATAGGCTAGAGTTGAAACTCAGTAGAAGCAATCAAGGTTCAGGCACGTGAATAGCTGTTTTCCAAGCACTCCTATCTAATGCTAAGTCTTTGGGTATATTCCATCCTTTCAAGTCATTTTTATTCTCTACCCAAGTCAACTTCGGTCTTCCTCTGCATCTCTTCACGTTACTATCCTGGCTTAGGATTCCACTACGCACCGGTGCCTCTGGAGGTCTCCGTTGGATATATCCAAACCATCTCAGCCGGTGTTGGACAAGCTTTTCTTCAATTGGTGCTACCCCTAATCTATCACGTATATCATCGTTCCGAACTCGATCCCTTCTTTTATAACCGCAAATTCAACACAACATACGCATTTCCGCGACACTTATCTATTGAACATGTCGTCTTTTCGTAGGCTAACATTCTGCACCATACAACATAGCATGTCTAATCGCCGTTCTAAAAAACTTGCCTTTTATCTTCTGTGGTACCTTTTTGTCACATAGGACACTAGATGCTTGGTGCCACTTCATCCACCCTGCTTTGATTCTATGGCTAACATCTTCATCAATATCCCCGTCTCTCCATAGCATTGATCATAAATATCGAAAGGTATCATTCCTAGGCAATACTTGACTTTCCAAACTAATATCTTCCTCCTCCCGAGTAGTAGTGCCGAAGTCACATCTCATATACTCAGTTTTAGTTCTACCGAGTCTAAAACCTTTGGACTCCAAAGTCTCCCGCCATAACTCCAGTTTCTGATTCACTCCTGTCCGGCTTTCATCAATTAGCACTACATCGTCCGCGAAAAGTATACACCAAGGGATGTCCCGTTGTATGTCCCTTGTGATCTCATCCATCACTAAGGCAAACAGATAAGGGCTCAAAGCTGACTTTTGATGTAGTCCTATCCTAATTGGGAAGTTATCCGTGTCTCCATCACTTGTTCGAACACTAGTCACACCATTGTTGTATATGTCCTTAATGAGCCCGACGTACTTCGTTGGGACTTTATGTTTGTCCAAAGCCCACCACATAACATTCATTGGTATTTTATCATAAGCCTTTTGAAGTCAATAAAAACCATGTGTACGTCCTTTTTCTTCTCCCTATACCGCTCCATAACTTGTCTTATTAAGAAAATGGCTTCCATGGTTGACCTTCTGGGCATGAAACCAAATTGGTTCATAGAGACCCGCGTTATTGCTCTCAAGCGATATTCGATAACTCTCTCCCATAGCTTCATAGTATGGCTCATCAACTTAATTCCCCGGTAATTATTACAACTTTGAATATCCCCTTTATTCTTGTAGATCGGTACCAATATACTTCTCCTCCACTCGTCAGGACAGCTTGTTTAGCCATACTATAGCTATGTCCCTGAGGCATCTCCACACCTCGATTAAGATACCATCTGGTCCTATCGCTTTACCTCCTTTTTTCCCTTTTCAACGCCTCTCTGACCTTAGATTCTTGGATTCTCCGCACAAAGCGCCTATTGGTGTCATCAAAAGAGTTATCCAACTGAAAGGTTGTGTCCGTATTGTCACCATTGAACAATTTGTCAAAATACTCTTGCCATTGATGTCGGATCTCATCCTCCTTCACCAAGAGATGCTCACTTTCATTCTTAATGCACTTAACTTGGTTGAAGTCTCGTGTCTTTCTCTCACGAACCCTAGTCATCCTATAAATGTCCTTATCTCCTTCCTTCGTACTCAAATGTTGGTAAAGATCCTCGTACGCTCTACTCTTTGCCACACTTATAGCTCGCTTTACAGTCTTCTTTGCCACCTTGTACTTCTCTATGTTGCCCACACTCCTGTCATGGTACAAGCATCTATAGCATTCTTTTTTCCCCTTAATAGCCCTTTGGACTTCCTCGTTCCACCACCAAGTATCTTTAGCCTTGCCTCCACTTCCTTTGGTTACTCCACACACCTCTGAGGCCACCTTCCGAATGTTGGTTGCCATCTTCTCCCACATGTTGTTTATGTCCTTTTTTTCCTTCCAAGAACCCTCTTTGATAACCCTTTCCCTGAATATCTCTGACGTCTCCCCTTTCAGTTTCCACCACTTTGTTCTTTCAATCTTAGATTGTTTATCCCTATGGGCACGCACCTGAAAAACGAAAGTTTGCCACCAAAAACTTATGTTGAGAAATAACACACTCGCCTGGTATCACCTTGCAACCTAAGCATGCTCGTTTGTCCTTTCTTCTTGCGAGGACAAAGTCAATCTGGCTAGAGTGTTGTCCGCTATTGAAGGTCACTAGATGAGATTCTCTCTTTCTAAAGAAAGTGTTGGCTATCATCAGGTCAAAAACTACTGTGAAGTCCAGAACTTCCTCCCCCTCCTGATTCCTACTACCATACCCAAAACCTCCATAAATTGCCTCGAAACTCAAGCTTGTATAAATACCTACATGCCCATTAAGATCTCCTATAAAAGCTTCTCACTACTAGTACACTCTAATCAGGCCATCTAAGTTTTTCCAGAACTGTCTTTTAGCACTCTCGTCGAGGCCTACTTGGGGGGCATACGCACTAATTACGTTCAAGACCATATCACCAACAACAAGCTTGACTAAGATAATCCTATCTCCTTGCCTTCTCACTCCCACCACACCATTTTTAAGGCTCTTATCAATCAAAACTCCTACTCCATTTCTATTCATGATTGTTCTGTGTACCAAAGCTTGAAACCTCATATTGTCCACCTCCTTCGCTTTCCTTCCTAATTCATCCATTTAGCCTCTTGAACGATAATATATTTACACGCCTCCTAGTCGTGTATCAACTAATTCTCTTAACTTACACCGTGTGGCGACCCTACATTCCAACTACCTAAATAGATCCTAGTTGGTTCGACTAGCTTCCTTACTCTTCGCACCTGTCGACTCAGATGTGAAGACTCTTGCTCATTTTTCACTACACCCGGGCGCCGATGTAGCGCGCCACTAAGGAAGCGACGACCTGATCCTTGATCACTTGACACCATGCCTAGATCACGACACGTCGCGTCACCAAGGGGGTGCCGACCCGGCCCTTGCCCATTTAACACCATACCCGGGTTCCGATATGGCGCGTCGTTAAGAGGGTTACGCCCCAACAGTTTTCTTTCGGGTTTCATCTCCATTAGAATGGCTAGATTTAACGTTGGCTCGCCACGTCTATCACAACCCTCCTCCTTTACCAGGGGTTGGGACCTGCTATGTTGAGACAAGACCTTTTAGTTTTCACAAGGAGTGTTAAAGCTTCTTTATGGAATTTTGCTTAAGGATTATGGGAAAGTACCGTCCAGTCAATATGTTTGTTGTAACAGATTATTTAGGCCCCATTTGACACAGCTTCTCCACCAGCTTCAGAAGTTGTTTGGAGTTGTTTTGTGCCAAACGGGATAAAATAATACAGCTCCACCTGAGGAGCTCCTTAAAATGCCCTCTCACAAAGGGTGGATGGGAGATGGAGCTGAAAATAGTAGCTTCTCCCAGCTCCCACTCGCTCTGGTGGGCCTTGTGTGGGATTCCATGAGAGCATGTTTTAAGGAGCTCCACATGTAGAGCTGTTTTGCCAAACAGTTAACCAAAGCAGCTTCAGTTCCTCTGGTAGAGCTGCTTGTAGAGCTCAAGTAAAAAAATAACGACTTCACTAGTGAAGTGGAGCTCTGCCAAACTCATACCATGCCCGTGCTAGTATTCATTGAAATTACATGCTTAACTATTGTTTTTTCATTCCTTGTTTGATTACAAATATAATTTGCACAGGGAGGCTGCAATTGTTCAACTCCTCCACCAAAATAACAAGACCACATTGTAACATACTAACATGAAGGATGTTTTGTGCTCCTTGAACAAATGATAAGTACTGTTTAATTTTCAGGACGGGCGCGAGATTCAAGTTGGCGATTGTGCTCTTTTCGGGGCTGTTGATGTTCCTCCATTTATTGGATTGATACGTTGGATTGAGAAAAAGGAAGAAGGCTATCCCAAACTACGCGTTAGTTGGCTTTATAGACCTGCCGACATTAAGCTTAACAAGGGCATTCAACTGAACGCCGCACCAAACGAGCTCTTCTACTCTTTCCACCAGGACGAGGCATCTGCTGTTTCCCTGCTGCACCCTTGCAAAGTTGCCTTTTTACGTAAAGGTGTTGAGCTCCCGGTTGGAATTTCTTCATTTGTATGTTGGCGTGTATACGATATTGACAACAAGTGTTTATGGTGGCTTACCGACCGAGATTATATTAATGTAGGTTCATTATCTATTTCATGTTTCTCTCTCTCTTACTCTTATATATATTTATAATGATGTTTCTTGCGTGAAACTTTTTACCAGGAACGGCAGGAAGAAGTAAATCGGCTTCTATACAGAACAAGGTTAGAAATGCATGCTGCAGTGCAGTCAGGTGGACGGTCTCCAAAGCGGCTAAATGGTTCATCAGCATCCCAGCAACTGAAGGCTTCTACAGATGGTACACAGAATTGTGGTTTATCCAAGGGAAAGAAGAGGGGGGAGAGGTGAGCAAGGAATTGATCCAGCTAAGCGGGATCGAGATCGTCTGCATGTTGATGACAGTGAGCCTGGAAGCAAGTTGGACGGTATAAAGTCTGAAATAGCAAAGGTTGAAAAAGGTGGACTTCCAAACACAGAAGCAGTTGAAAAGCTTGTGCATCTTATGCAACTTTATCAGACTGAGCAGAGGGTAGACCTTGCTGGTCGGGTTATGCTTGCTGATGTTATTGCAGCTACAGAGAGCCCTGATTGTCTTGGCAGATTTGTGCAATCAAGGGGCCTTCCCGTGTTGGATAGTTGGCTTCAAGAGGCTCACAAAGGGAAGTCTGGTGACGGTAGTTCTAAAGAAGCAGATAAGCCTATTGATGACCTTCTCTTGGCGCTACTTCGTGCACTAGCTAAATTGCCTATTAATCTCAGTGCACTGCAAAGTTGTAACATTGGAAAATCTGTCAATCATCTCCGCAGCCACAAAAATTTGGAGATACAGAAGAAAGCTAAGTGTCTTGTTGAGAACTGGAAGAAACGTGTTGATGCTGAAATGAAGTCGAATGATTTGAAACCTTTAACTGGCCAATCTGCTTCCTGGCCTGGAAAAGCAGGTTTCCAAGAAATTTCAAATACTGGAAGCAAACGAGGTGGCTCAAGTGAGCACAGCCCAAAGAATCCAGCATCCACTGTTTCATCACCAAAGGTTTTGACTGATAAACCTGGGGGCTCAGATGCTGTTGCAAAGTTGAATCATGTACCTTATGTCGCTTCAAAAGTACAACATATGCAACCAGGAAATGTTGCCGCCAACTTGAAGGACCAGCCCTGCAAATCAACTGGTGGTTCTGAGCTGCCTACTGTGAAAGAGGAGAAAAGTAGCAACTCGAGCCAGTCACCGAACAATAGCCATTCATGCTCTAGTGAGCCATCGAAGGATGCGAGAAGTTCAACTGCTGTTTCTGGTGGTGCTAGTAAAACTTCTGGAAGTGCTTCACGGGGCCATCGAAAGGCAACCAATGGGCTTGTTTCAGGGAACCTGAAGGAAGCTTCTGTGGGAAGATGTGTCTCCCTTGATCGATCTTTGCTGCCAGATAAATCATCTCCAACTGGATCAGCTTCTGAAAAAGGAGTTGACATGCCATCTGACCATGGAAATAATCATAGATTGATTGTTCGGTTTCCAAATCCTGGCCGTAGTCCTGCTAGAAGTACAAGTGGAGGATCTCTTGAGGACCCATCTGTTACTGGTGGTAGAGCTTCATCTCCTGTGGTTGCAGATAGGCATGAACAGACTGATCGCAGAGTGAAAATGAAAACTGAAAATTCTCGGCCTCATTTAACTTCTGATGTTAATGCAGAGTCATGGCACAGCAATGAGATTAAAGGAACTGCTGGTTCGGAGGAAGGTGACAAATCACCATGTGCTATGTTAGATGATGACAACAGCAGGACACCTGATGATTCTGTTAAGGATACACATGCATCACGAGTTGTATGGTCAGCCTCATCATATATGAATGAAAAAGGCGTCTGTTCAAGTGAAACCAAGGTGGGAAACTCATTCAGCCCAATGAATGCTCTGATTGAAATCAAGTACTCTGAAGCTAGTCATTCCTTGCATGCTGAAGACGACACAGCAATGGATCTTCTTGCTAGTGTGGCAGGAGAAATATCAAAATCTGAATTGGTTTCCCCATCTTCTTCACCCAGAAATTCATCTGCAAAGAAATTGGGCTGTGAGGGTGACAATGCTGGGAAGGTTAAAGTAGAAAGTGATGTGAGCCCATCACAGGATCCAGGGCCAGCAGATGCTAAGAAAGTTGTCGGTGGGAAGGAAGTGAAAAGTGATTCTTGTTTGGCTGCAAAGGAGGAACAACGCCAAACTGTGCCATCTCCTGAGCTAGCAGATTCAAAAGCAGTTGGATCTTCAGTCAAAATTGAAATCCATGAAGGGCGTGCAAACAAATGCAACTCTCAACCTGATTTGGTTGATTCCAAAGGTGAACATGATCAGAACTCCAATTTGTGCCACTCAGCTAATGCTAGAATTGTCAATGTGCCTAATATGGATTCATCTGCAGGTGAAAATCGGGATGCATGTAGACATGGGAAAGTTGAAGATGGCTGTACAGACAAGGGTGGTGCTGTGGATTCTACATTGGGCAGTCAGTGTAAAGTGGTTGTTTCCAGTAGGAATTCAAGATTGGTTCTTGCTGGAGAATCTTCATTGTCTGCTGCTGATAAACAAGCCCAGGGTTTGTTGAAGTCATCAACTAATCATAAGCAGCCTCTGGGTGTATCAGGCCACTCAGGAGCCTTTGATATCCGTGACAGTATGGCTGGCAAATTAGATTTGATGGCTGCAGAGGTGAAAAAAGCTGATGCTGTGAGCGATAGTAGCATACTGTGGAATGAGGAGGAAAAGAAGGAAAATGCTTCTTTCCCTTCGGCTGATGTTCCAAAACTAGTTGTAGCTGCAGCGTCCCCAGCAAATAGGATTGAATCAAAAGACACTTCAAGTGAATCCAATAGTCATGTAAAATCTGAAGGTGTCCATTCTCAGCAAAGTGAGCATAGTGCAAAGCAGAGCTCAAAAAAATCCAGTGATGGTGTGAGTGGAAAGGAGGATGGAAAAGATGACCTTGTCTCATCAGATGAAGGTTCTTCTCTAGCTGCCCACACCAAGTCAAATGCTACAGCAAAGCTTGACTTCGACTTGAATGAAGGAATACCTGGGGATGATGGGCATCAGTCTGAACCAACTATCTCACCTGTTATATGTTCCTCAACGGTCCATTTAACTAGGCTTTCGCCATTTGCTTCGCCTATTACATGTGGGCTGCAGTCAGCTCCAATAACAGTAGCTGCTCCAGCTAAAGGACCCTTTGTTCCTCCTGAGAACCTACTAAGAGCAAAGCCTGAGATCGGGTGGAAAGGTTCAGCTGCTACGAGTGCATTCCGCCGAGCTGAACCGAGGAAGATTTTGGAGATGCCTGGCACCACACGTGAAATTCCAGGATCTCATACTGCTGGGAAGCAGTCTCGCCCCACACTTGGTTTTGATTTGAATGTTGCAGGTGACCAAGCTCTCCAGGAAGATATCCCAGAGAGTTCTGCACAGACTACCTGCTCTGAATCTGGAAATACGAAAAGTCGAGATGGCTCATCACGAAGCGCTGGCATTGAGTTTGATCTGAACAGAGCTGATGAAGTTGCAGATAATGGCCAATTTGTGTCAAATGCTTCACACCCAGTTGAACTCCCATTGTCGTCAACAAGGTCGTTACCTGGAATTGTCTCTAATGCTGGTATGAATATCTCGAGGGACTTTGACCTTAATAGTGGACCAGGCCTTGATGATGCTGTCACTGAACCTGTGCCAAAGAACCTACCTGCTAAAAATACAAGCAGTATTCAATTCCTACAAGTTCCTGGTTTAAGGATGAATAATGTTGCCATGAGTAATATATCACCATGGCTTGCCTCTGCTAACCCTTGTGGTCCAGTAGCTATACAATCGTTTTTGCCTTCTAGAGGAGAACAGCTGTACCAAATTGAGGCTGCATCTGGAGCCCAGAGGATTATCGCGTCTACCACTGACAGTGGCCAATTTGGAGGTGATCCTGCAGGGCTCCAGTTATTTCAACGTCTCCAGCGATGGTTTTTCATCCGCCTGCATATCAATATGCAGGATTCCCTTCTTTTCCTCCAAGTGTCCACCTTCAAGCACCTGCATTTTCAGTTGGATCAGCAACATTTGCTAATTCTGCATCTGCAGTTCCATATTTTCAAACTCTCTCTCCCTCTCTTGTTGGGCCAGCAGGATCATTACCTGCCCAGCATTCAAGGCAGTATGCTATAAATCTTGCTGAGGGTAGCAGCAGCAGTGGACGTGACAGTAGTCGTAAATGGGAAAGTCAGGGCCTTGATCTTAACTCAGGCCCTGGAAGTATAGATTTAGAAGGAAAGGATGCACGGGCACCTTTACCAGTCAGACAAAATTTGATCACACCCCCACATGGCTTTGCAGAAGATCAAGGAAGAATTTACCAAATGCCAGTTGTAGGAACAAAGAGAAAGGAACATGATGGCAGTTGGGACACAGAAAGGTCTACATATAAGCAATTATCTTGGCAATGAGGCCTCTGAAGGAGATCATTTTGCACCCGACTGGTCTGTGATGAGCATGTACGTAGTTGATTCAAACTTTTGAGATCTGTTCAATTTATTATTTCCTTGCTTATCTTGTGAAAACTGTGCTTATATTTACAGAGGTACCAGCATGTAGAACTTGGACGGTGCCTGTCACTGGACTATACTCATAGTCATAGGGAGATTCGTCTCAATGAAGATGATGTGGGTCAAGAGGAAATGAAAAGTTTCTGTAATTGTTGTAGATTTTTCGTAGCTGTTAGGCTTTTTGTTGTTCTAATTTACTCAGCAGGGTATGGCTTCGGAGGAATCTTTGTGATCCTGAGCTCTGGAGCTACTGTAATTAGACCGGCCGCTCTGTTTGTTGGTGATAAACTGTTGTGCACATGCTGCAGATTTACATAAGAATTTAGATGTGACCTTGTTGTATTTTGTTGGGGAAGCGTAACGTCAACTGACCATATAAACGCTGGTGCAACGAATAGTCCAGTTGCTACGCCATGTATCTTGTGATGTCGGGCAGCTGTATGTATAATAATTCCAGCAGATAAGCAAGTTGTAATCTGTTGCTGTTTCTTTGACACCGACGAATACATCCGTATCTGGTTTTCATCGTGATGCTATTTTATTTGTTATTTCGAGAGGTGATGGCAGCTGCTAGCCTGCTACAAATAATGTGCAATAGTGGGTTCAGATGACCGCAGTCACCTGGTCACCTGGCATCTTCAATAGCGATAGACCGCAGTCACCTGGTCACCTGGCATCTTCAATAGCGATAGAAGGTTCTTGAGCCAGCTACAATTAATTATGAGCAATCAAATGACCCTGCTTCATTTAATTTTAGTTCGAAAGGTGAACATGATCATAAATCCAATTTGTTCCCCTCAGCTAATGTCATGAACTCCAATGGATTCATATGCTGATGAAGATCGAGATGGCTGTGATGAAGTTGAAGATGGATGTACAGACAAAAACGGTGCTCCTGTACTGCCGTAGTGCTGTTGAATCTACATTCGGTAGCCAGGCCAGTGTAGCTTTGGTTGTTCCCAATCGAAATTCAAGACTGGGAACCTTCATTTTATGCTCTGCTGATAAACAAGCTCAGAACTTGTTTGAGAACAGGGATAGGTTTGGGAAGTGAACAGATGGGTCATTGGGTCGCAGGTTGTGAAACATCCTCAATTTTCCGCGAAGGAAAAATTCCACCGAATGAATTATAATATGATGAAACCAAGAACTGATTCCATCGTATTATCATATTTCAGTCGATGTCACAGTCATACATCGTAAGATTACAAGAATACAAGATATTACATCACTGGGGAACACACCTATTACAGAGTTAATCTAGCGGAAGACTATCGAGTAAAGGCTCCTCCTTCACGGGCATCATCAGAGTTGGCGTAGTGCAGCGTAGATTCTATCTCCAAACCAAATTTGAGCGTAGACACGAGACCTCCTAATCCTTCTAAAGTCAGCATCTCTGAGAAGCAGGAAATCTGCACACCGCCAGATGTGTGCAGGCCATGGTCAGCACCGATGAGCTTTAGTGGAAAAGATAAACAAGGGATCTGGCGATCCTAATATTTGGCTGTGGTTTGCATCATTAGCGCATGAGAAGTAAATAACAATAGTAATATAATAATAATATCCAATTTTTAACACATTCACCACCACACCATCCGTATCCATCCACCAACCATCCATCCCAAATCATCTCCACACCACCACACCGTATCTCATCTCACACACTCAGGTCGACAGGCCAACTCCCTCTCGGCCTTGTCTCAACGGCCTGCAGCCCCAAGACTCACGACCGGAAAATACCCCAACCCTGGAGGGAGGGAGGAAGGACTCATCTCCTATCTAGTTTAAGCGAAACCCAGGAAAGGTCCATAGCCGACAAGTCGACATACGTATCGATCGATCAACCATACACTCTGCAGAGGTTTCACATACCCACAAGATAGCCATCCTCGGCGGTGCCCGTCTAGGCGCATTCCGCCGCTTGCTAGCCTAGAACGATGTCACCCTACCTCTCACCCCTGGAACACCCCAAGTCTAGTCTGGGATGGTCGATCTCATGAGTCGTGAGAGCAGCCGGGCCCACCGGATGTCAAGAGCCGTCCACAAGGCCTCCTGAAGTCTCGGAAGGGTGTGGGGGGGGAAACCGCGCACCCCGTACCTCCTTGCACACATTCGCCTAGCAGTAGTGGCATCGCTCTACCAAGTAGTCCGACCGTCCCGCACCATATAGGGCGAGTGGGATGTAAAGGATTCCTGGTGAGTCTGAGTACTAGTAAGTCCTTAGGGATGACCAAGCCAGAATGTCTTCATCAGTGTTTCCATTTTACGTGCCACCACATCACCTCTACCCCGGGCTCCACCTCTCCGAGGTTCACACCCAAGGCCACCTCCAATTACCATTTACCCGCCACAGGTATTCCATATCCAAGTGCCCAGGTAGCACCACATGGCAAGACTCGCTCCAGGCTCGTCATTATTCCAGCTCGGTCGACACAACCCTCACTCTCCACGCACCCAAGACACACGCAGCACGCTCACACACCACCAAGTCCGGCACCCATAGCCAAACCATTCCCAGGGGGTGCACCACCAGCATCACATTCCCGATATAATGCGAAGTGGAGTTAATAATAAGTATAGTGGTGTAATATGCAAGCAAGCAGGCAAGTAAGCATATATAAGCGAGCGAATGTGCAAAGCAGGGTGACATGGTAGAGTGGGTTGCATCAGGATAATAATGGCTCAGGTAGTAGCATGCATCAAAGTTCTAGCAAAGGAATAATTATAAAGCGCTAGCAGTTCTAGATATTATGCAATGTCTAATAGGATTCTCTAAAAGAGGGTGCTGCCATGACACCTGCGATGTAGAGGTAGTAGTGGTACAATTCTCCATTCGTTGGTGTTCCATTAGCGGGGTCACCTCCTCCTACGTTGACTCCATTCCGCAGTCCTTGTCGTTGTCCACGTTCTCTTGGTCCGATCGTCAGCTTCTCCGCGAAGCGACACGCAAGGAAAGAGAGCACTCAACACTTGAAAAGATGACAAGACGCAGGAAAATCCAATAACACCAGTGAGGCAATAAGAGATACATGGCTTAGCCCTCTCGGCGGTTGTCCGATTTCCTCGGGCCAAGAATCACAAATGGTGGTTTGCTAAGCACAAGCTTAAGTCATGGCCAAGCCAGTATGGCTTTAGGATAGATGGTTTAAGCCAAAGCTTATCCATAGCACACCACGACTCATGATCTTCTGATCCGGTGTCATTGAATCGACGGGGATTGGAAGTCGGGCCCCAAGAAGAAGAACGACGGGGTTCGGCTCTTATAGCCTTATCCCGCAAGTCACAATTGGACACGAGTGGCAACAAGGACGATTAACACTATTGTAACTTGGCTCCAACATACTTCGGCTCGCCCGCTATGGTAGAAAGTGGTAGCGCAAAGAGATTGGACATCAACGGTTCCCCTCGATCCACACGACATAATAACGTCGGGAGCCGAGAAGAGAGTCGCTCAACACGACAAAAGATGCGGGGGTTAGCTAGGCACATCCATGTCATGTTCTCAGACACATCTTCGGGATAGATGGTTTTAGACGGTCGATCGGGTCGACACGCATGGGTTCGAGGTACGACATAGACCATAGCTTCGCTAACCCAAAGGGAATAGTCCGGTCTTTGATCCAATCATCATGGGCAAGACGGAATCGAACAGAGCGGGCTAGCGGTGCAACAAGAGCAAGAACAACACGGAACAAGGTCTACTTCTTCCAACACTCGCGCCACGACGAAAGACGGGGCATTGGGAGGAAGCGACAAACACCAAGTGCGCAGACCACTCGTAGGGTACCCGACCTAGGTGCACTGGCACTGAGATATCTCTCGGATTCGAAGCGGTGCGGTTGTCACCGCGAGAATCAGAGAAACATGATGGTCAAACGGGGTACAAGCATACAAGGGCTTGAGCACGAAGAAGCAACTAAAAGCGAAAGAGAGGCGTAGCTCCATGGTCATGGCGAGGTGAACTCGCGGCCACAAGCTATGCCTATGAGTTGGCATTCATCGTTCCACGATTGTTTACTCCTAGGTTTTCTCCCACAGAACTTGGTCAAGGAAGGCTCAAGGCGTGCGGGTGATATCCGCATCGATGTTAGTATCGACATCGAATCCATCACGACCATGTTCTAGGGCCGAAGGCAGGAGCTAACACTCGTGGTACTATGAAGTCAACTAAAAGGTGAGGGGTCGAGTCACACTCGGCATCACGATCATGGCGAGATGGATCCCACGATCGTAACGTCCGAACGAGGTACGATCCCTCAGCCGGCTCAAAGGCTCGGCACACAAGCAACAACACCAACAACCAGCGATAAGAACCAAACACGACCGAAAGACGCAACAACTCGACACGACTACGGAGTAGCACATTCCATAGCTGGGTGATAGGTGAATTCCTGTAAGACAGTCATGGACAGATATGTTGTAAGAATAGGGCCCAACAAGATAGATATGCGTATACAGAAAGATGCGAGATGGGGCTTTCCATGGTCTCGGTAAGACATACAACTAGGGTTCATGGTCCAGAGGGTACGGCTTGCGGTAGATGGGGTCATGGTGGTCTCGGCAAGCGAGGCCATGGTGGTCTCGGCCAGCGAGGCCATGTGGTCTCGGCAACGGTGGTCTCGGCAACGGTGGTCTCGACAACGGTGGCCTCGGCAACAGTGGTCTCAGCAATGGTGGTCTCGGCAACGGTGGTCTCGGCAACGGTGATCTCGGCAACGGTGATCTCGGCAACGGTGGCCTCGGCAACACTGGTCTCGGCAACGGTGGTCTCGGCAACGGTGGTCTCGGCAACGGTGGCTGACAGGTGGGCCCTCGGCACTGGTCACTGACATGTGGGGTTGGTCAACAGTCATCGTTGACTGGTCAACAGTCAACAGTGACTAGGCTCTTAACGGGCTCAG